TTTATATATATATATATATATATATATATATATATATATATATATCCATACTTTGTATATCATATCCATTATTCTATTCAGGCCTATTAAGTAAGTTGTAAGTATAAAGATAACTATCACAATAACTATAAATACAACAGTAACTCTATTAAAATCCACACCAGTGCATGTTCTGTCTATCAGTAGACTGGCTGTCATCGTGTACACTTACTTAGAGTGCGATGAGAAACTAGCAGCTGCAAAAATGGCTGCCTCTACTTCAACATTATCATGAGAGTCCAGACTTTGCCGGATGCTGTGATGGGCATTTTTTCGTTCTGGAATAATGGAGGCTAAGCTTCCCAACATCCTGTCAAAATGCACAAGACACAAAAACATAAGCATCGAAAATGTATACAATCACATTATTATTTCTAAGCATATTCTAGGACGGTCTTTGACAAAATAATTGATAATTTAGATATTAGAAGGAAGCTGACAAGAAACGCATGGCATTTTTAAAATAAAATAGAACATTTTGAGGAAGTGCATGCAGGAAAAACACCCACAAGTACCTGAGAGTTATTGCTCTAGCAACAGGATCATTGCTATGAATGACGGAAAACACTCTTTTGACAAACTCGTCCACGTTCAGAATCTTCTCCAGGTGTTTCTCGCTCAGCTGTGTGACCTTCAGCACACAGAGTCGCAGAAAGTTGTTCCTAATTTGACAGGGGTGAAATTACAGATTCAGAACTTTTCACTCAGTACAAATCTCTAAATGCATTTCAATTCCAGATACATGTTATGCAATGGCATGTTCATTTCATAACAGAGACAGAACAGAAGCACAACAAAGCATAGTCCTAGACCAGTGTTTCCCAACCGGGGTGCCGTCTGTCGAGAGCAGGGGTGCCGTGTAAAAAAATCCTTTTTTAATATTTTTAAATTGCTAAAATGTTCAAAAAAGCAGCTATTATATAATATCCATTTCTGATGTCGCCAATAATTAGAGATGCACCGAAATTTCGGCTGCTGAAAATTAGTTCACTGCTCAGGTTTCACTAATTTTTTATTCAACGTTTGAAATCAAGCTATCTCGTGCTACTGCACCAACATTACCCCATTGTAAAATTAAAAAAACACTGAGTGAGCAAAAATTAGTGAGATAGCTAGCTATAATGGTAATTAAATAATGTTTACATATGTATAAAAGCCTACATTAAAATCTGTCATATAAATTGGTCTCTTCATTAGAAATTAGCCTACTGATTGCCACCATTGATGGACAAAAATGTTTAATAATTAATAAAATATCTGTATGACATTATATTCTGCAGTTCTTCCCTGTTGTACCGAATATCTATACTTTTCAAATGATCATATCGAAGTTAGAAATTCAAATATTGTGACAAAATTAATTTTGTAGGGTGCCACAAGTTTGTTAAAATTTCCAAAGGGTGCCGCAACTAAAAAAAAGTTGGGAAACACTGTCCTAGACAAATATAATTATTCCGAAATATTTGACCAGCACTGCAATTGACCAATCAGACACGAGTATTCCAGAGAGCCATGTAATAACAGCATATACACAGCCTCAAAGCTAATAGATATGCATTTTCTTTATTTAATGCGCCTAATTACCCAAGTCTGAAGATGTCTGCCAGTTTCAGGAAGGCAGAGTTGATGAGGATGGGAAAGGGATACTTCTGAAAGAGTTTGGGGAAAAGGACCACAGCTTCACATTGCTCGCCCAGTTTACAAGACCTTAAACCTTTAATGGTGCGAAAATAAGAATGACTGCGTAAGTTAATTACGTCAACAGATTTCATTCTGTCTGAATATAAATAAACACATCACTGTGTTATCAGATGAACAAGTAACATAAGGCATGTATAGCTTAATCATAACTACGGTGACCGAGAAGTGCAGAGCAAATCACAATTCTGAAAACAAAATAAGGATTTGTCGTTGTTTTCTGACTTATAATGTTTTCGAATTTGTCATTGTGTTTTCTGACTTGTTATAATGTTTTCTGAATTGTTGTTGTGCTTTCTGAATTGTTATTTTGTTTTTTAGACTTGCATTTGCGTTTGTAATTTGTTATTTTGTTTTCAGAATTGTGATTTGCTCTGCACTTCTCGGCCACCGTACATAACACACAAGCCCAACCTTTATCGAGCTCCATCAGCGCAGAATTGGCGTCCAGCTCCTGCTCGCCATAAGCAGCCTCCGACAGAAACGAGCGCGCTGCGGAGAGCGACATCATTTATCGTTAGATTGCGAAAAATGTGGAACGACAGACTGTTTTAAGACTCAGTATTTTATTCGTTAGAGCAGATAGACTTGGCGCATGAAGTTTGAAGCGGATGACCCGGCTGCAGTGCAGGTCACGTGACAAAGCCAGGATCTTACGTCGGGTTTCCGTTGAACCACAAAGAACTTCTTCTTCTTCTTCTTCTTTTAGGATTTAATGGCGGTTGGCAAACCAACTTAACCACAAAGAACGCTAGAAGCGAAAACGACTGGCTCACAAAGAGGGCGTGGCCTATGCGTTGGCGTCAACTCCGATTGGTCTCTGTCTCTGCTAATAAAAAAACGTTTTTTACTCTGCTTGGCTTTCATGAATTGTTTTTAAATACAGTATCTATCTATCTATCTATCTATCTATCTATCTATCTATCAAATCTAATAAATAAATATTTCATTTATTTTAAATCAAATAAAAATACAATATTTTTCTTTAGTATTCATAGATAAGGATTTTTAAATTAATTAATAAAAAGTAATATCGTTATATTGATCGTTGTTTTGTGATTCACATCAGAAATCATTTTCATTCTTACAAATACATTGAAAATAACACAATCAGACTTTTTTTTTAGCTTAAATTACTTTTTAACTCACAATTATGACTTAGTAAGACATAATTTCGACTTCTTATCTCATAATGATTTAGTATCTTGTATTTCTAAATTTTGTGTCGTAATTTTGAACTTTTGTCTCATAACTATGACCTTTTATGTCATAATTATGATTTACCAAAGCATTATATTTTTTCTTATGTGGCGGAAATGTGGTTCCATAAAATTGTGAATTGTCGAATTTATTTCATTTTTCAAAAACAACAGATGTTTCGGATGCAGTAAAGCATCTAAATAAATAAAGTCCAATTGATGTATAATGTTAAAGTTGACTTTCTCTGGGCCACAGAGTGCCTCTAGTGTACGCGGCCTGCATAGTTTCCATAGAAGCAGTGTTAAACCTGCAGCCATCCCACTCTCTGCTGCTCAACACTTCCGGTATTCTGACGCATTGACCAATCAGAAGAGCGAACGTTGGTATCGCGCGGAATTCGTCTTCGTCGCTTTTTCAATGTTCGCGGGAAACTGAGCATTTCTGAATGAAACACCTATCCAGCAGGAGCTATGACTCTTTTTCACCATGTTGTTGATCAAGGCGTTATTAAAAGAAGATGTAATGGTGAGTATAATTTAGATATGTCAATGGAAATCTATGTGTTTACGCTTTTTCACTCAAAACCCCTATAATAATCAGGTCAGCGTCGGCACTATCCGCTGTCCTCTCTGCTGGACGGATACCAGTGCGCTCGACAGGACGAACACATTTCATACGGAGCCTCGCCTGCTGCTGTGCCGCCGTTTGGATGCACATTTTCCTCTGGTACACTTTTAATTAAACGTTCACAATGAGTGTACTCAGAACCCCACGACTGTGTAAAGCCTAACACTTTGTGCTGGTTTATTTGTTGCTCAGCTCCTGGTCAACAGAGCAGCCTTGCTGTTGCAAACGAGGAAGGGTTTGTGACCATCTTCAATACCGGAGAAAAACAGAGCTCTGTGCTGAAAGGTTGGTTTACGTTTACCTAGATTCAATACTGTTTTTTTTTTTTGTAGGATACCTATTATTTTTGTCAGACTGATTCATATATGTTGAACTTTTGTTTTACAGAGTGGCAGGCACACGATAATGCAGTTTTTGATATTGCCTGGGTTCCTGGTGCAAACCGCTTGGTGAGCATCCATCCATCCATACATACATACATACATATTATTTTTGTCAGACTGATTCATATATGTTGAACTTTTGATCCATCCATCCAGGAAGTCGTGGCCTAATGGTTAGAGCAGGGCTGTCCAAACTCGGTCCTGGAGGCTGGTGTCCTGCACAGTTTAGATCCAACCCTAATTAAACACACCTGAACCAGCTAATCAAGCTCTTACTAGGCATAGAAACTTCCAGTCAGGTGTGTTGAGGCAAGTTGGAGCTAAACTCTGCAGGACACCGGCCCTCCAGGACCGAGTTTGGACAGCCCTGGGTTAGAGAGTCGGACTTGTAACCCAAAGGTTGCGGGTTCGAGTCTCGTACCGGCAGGGATTGTAGGTGGGGGGGAGTGATGTACAGCGCTCTCTCCCACCTTC